GGCTGGTATCATAGGAAACCATCTTATAGGACCATTCGTTCTACAGGACCGATTGAATGGAGAACGTTATTTGGAGTTCATTCAGAACGATTTGAATGGACTTTTGGAACATGTTCCATTGCAAATCCGAAGAGATATGTGGTTTATGCATGATGGCGCTCCTTCTCATTTTAATTTGATTGTGCGTGACCATCTATTTCCACAATAGGCCCTCCGAGGCCCTCCGAGGCGGACAGTTTCAAATCCAATCTTCGACATCGTCCTCAGTATTTCACTAGGTACTGCTTTAACAACTTAACATATGTTGAAAAATTAGAAATGTGTATACTAATTTTGTAAAGTTATATGTATAGTGAATATTGAAAAAGTATTAAATTAAAAAATATCAAAATATGTTTTTCTGTTAACCAGCTGTGCCCCCCCACATGAACAACAACTCTCAATAGTCGAAACTTATGCGAACTAAAGACTAACGAAGCCTTATCTTTGAACGTGTGATTCTTAACACGGAAATATCAGTATACGTTTTTGTAAAGACAGCAAAAATGTATGTGAAAGTTTTTAGAAATGAAAAATCGAATTTCTTACTCAATAGAAAATTTTATGCTGGAGGGTAATAAATGTATTCTCTCAGTGCACTGTTGAATCAATTTGCAGAGAATCCAGATAATTTTTGAATTGATGTACAATAACAGATGAACTTGAAATTGATGCCATTTCAGCAAACGTATTCACCTACCTATCCCTACCATTGCTGCTTGGCACAAGTACTGCCTGGAGATGAGACATTGGGTGCTGGGCTTGATTATAACTAAACCAAATCCCACACATCCCAGCGCAGATGCAAACCCCATGAAAGTTTGAAGGACCACTAGACCGCTATCTTCTAGTCCTTCCCCATATCCTTGATACACCTAGAACAGAAACATGTTTCAGATTCTTGCTAATAAAAATGACCTCAAAGGACAAGCCTGACAGCCTTTTATTTTCTCAAGCTTGTCCAGTTGAGCCCAATGCATTCGTGGGTTGACCTAGCACTGATGAGACCTTGATGATTCGAATGGATCACGAATGGTTCCAAGTCGGCGTATACGACGAATGGAGCCTTTTCTTAATTTTTATTGTTTTTGAACTTGAGAATGTTTTACCCTCTATGGACTCTAGTTTCATTTGAATTGAGACTACCCGATATATTGTAAGACCCGCGAAGACGAATCAATTATCTATAATATGATCTGGAGTGATGCCATAAGTGCTTCAAAATGTACGATAACGGTGACATCATATGGAAATTGGCGGATAATATTTTCAGTATTCATACGGTAAGTTTGCCAGTAAATTCCATCTAACTTTTGCATTTTTTGAAAAATGATTACAGCTGTCATTACAAAAGACCTATTTTGAACAAATCTACTATATAACTTGCGGGACCTTAATATTTTATAATGTTTTCATTTTCAGACATATTCTCTGATGCCTAGCATAATTTTTATCTACGTAATATTACATATATAACACTCGTGATGCTGCTGAAAGGGTGTTTCAATGGAGAAATGGTTTGATTCGCTACGATTTAATAAATCACCTTGAACGTAATTAAAAAAAATGTATATATTAGTCTTGACGGAACTGAAAAAATTGAAGTATCTGTTCTCCTGAATATACTTGGAAAATCTTGCTAAATCGCCTTCAATGATTCACACGTTGAAAATGAAAACGCCGAAATTGATATTTATCTACCTAAAAGTAACTGATGACTCGTATTCCAAATATTGACACTCGTCTATTTCATTTTGCTGTTTTATATATTTAGGGTGATTCATAAAGAGGAGTAGTGAGAATTTTCTTGGAAAAAAACAGCGATTTGAGATCTGAAAGTTTGGGAAGTAACATTTGAAATATTGGTCGCCAAAAATTGGCCAGGCGTAACAAAATTTCGCAGGCGAAAAAAGAAAGCCGACGAAATGATGTCGCGTTCAATTGGTCGTACAAGAAAAATTTGTACATTAAGGTATTTATGTTTTGTCACACTTTACTGAAATCAGTATTTTTCAAAATTTTCATATACAGGCTGTTTTCTTTAGCTGATCCCACTTTAGTAGGTCTTACCGAAAAAGGTAAGACATACAAGATCGGTTAAATTGGACAAAAGTTTCCAATTTTGGGGAACTAGAATGATCTTGTTAAATCTCGAAAATATGAGTAGTTGTTTTTGAAATATTCGCCAAAAACTAGAATTGTCGAATTTCGTGTTTTGGCTCTACCGCCTCCATTTCGAATGATATAAAATAAAGTCAGTGAAACTTCCAGAACTGTTTCATATATATTATAATATGATACAAACCAATTTGAGGTGCGACGTTTCGTCCATTAGATTTCATCAACAACTTAATTTGTGTGTGTGCGCGTATGTGTGTGTGGGTGCGTGCTTGCGATCACGTGATCTATCATTGTAATGTGAAACTGCGTGATATCATTTGACAACGGTATGTTCAAACACATACAAGTATGCTATGGAAACAAATGAAAATTAATTGTTGATTCACTCCTTCTTTGTTTGATTCATTCAGTCATCCGTTAGAATTTGACCACATACCACCACATACATGGTGGGCTATGAAAAACTTTCCCAAGGCAGATTTGCCAGGGAACGAATATTTCGCAATAGCCCAAAACACCTCAAGTACGTTCGTGAGGGGGATACGCTGGGATCAAAACACCATTACAAAAACTTCAACCTTCTGAGTGCGGGTGTGATTCTTCTTTTTTTCAAAGGAAATGGATCACTGAAAATTGCTTTCGATTCTCTATCCATTGCTGCTATGCTTTTGAAGAACGGTTCACCTGTTTAGATGAAATATCAACAACACATCGAATTTCCATTAGAAGTTTGTGGTGAAGAAAAAGAAGAAGAAGAAGAAGAAGATATCATAGCAGTGAACTGTTTTGAAATATGCTTTAATACGAGATAAGGAGTAGGAACATGAATGAGCATGAAGTATCAAAAAAATTTTTTTTCAGAAACAAATAGGTAACATTTAAACATTTATTTTCATATTCGAATTTGCTCAGGAAATTGTAATTCAAAAATTGGTATATCTCCAGCCATTCGGATGTTATTCCTGAAATAACATAACTTTCGAACATAACTCTCATTTGAAACGTCTGTGTTGTTACGAAAATTTTTTCAAAATCCTGTTTATCCATTAACAAATAATAATTCGACCAAAAACTGTTTTTAACAACGAGTGAATCAAAACTCGAAAAAATGTTTTTTCTCGGCGATACATACTGCCCGATTATCTGCATATGATGATTTAAATGACTGTGACCTGTAAGAAGGCCTGTTTGACAGCGTAGTTCAACAACTGTTTGGTATCAAGCTTTGAAGGATGAATAAACGCCTTGGAGTGAGTCAATCCTGGAATATTCTGCCAGAAGTCCATAAATCTTCTTGCCATTCAGGTGTACAATGTTTGTTTGGTAAAGCCTAAAGTAATGCCAATGACAGGTTCTGGACCGATGAAGCTGCTTGCAGCACCCTCCTTTGCAAGGGAGTCAGCAGTCTCATTGCCTTCCAGGCCAGTATGGTCAGGAATACAGACCAGATACAATTTGTCAAGTCTTCCTGTCGAAGAGAGTCCTTTTTGGCAATTTGCTAGCAATTTAGACGTTGCCCAGTAGGAGCCAAGAGCTATTTTTTATTGACTTGTGTATGAGGTTAGATTCTTCCAATCTCTTCGAACACAATTCAATAGCGTAAATTTTCGTTTGAAATACAGTCGCATATGTTCCTAGGGAGGTTGATATCTTTGCCCTGGGTATGTAACTGAAAACACCTGTACCAAAACCGGAAGGTGTTTTTGATCCATCTGTGAACCAACAACTATCTGTTCTTAATATTTCCTTCTCTCGGAGGATCCAGTTCTCTCTACTCGGAAACAGTACTTTATAAGGCAGTTCGTAGTTGACAGTTGGAGGCATAAAGTCAGAGGTCATTTCCAGAATGCTGTGACTTCCAGTGTCAACCAACAGTCTGTTGCACTCTGTATTGAATTGACTTGTGCAATTAATTGGCAATATGCACAAGTCTATGTGCAGTCCATCTAGTCTCTCGATCCAGAAAAATGTGGAGAGGAGATAGATCTATCTCCATGGCCGCTGACGGTGTGGTATTGATGACACCACTGATGGCCAGATAAGCCTGCCTCTGTAAGCCAGAGAGCTTTGCCTGGGCCGTTTTCTGTTATACTGGGGATTTAATGTTTGAAAGTATCCTTTCTCTTTTTTTTTAATGTTGTTATTTTATTTCATGCTGCAATTTTATAGGAAACCTGGGACATAAGTTTATAATAATTTCATCTTTTCATATTCCAGACAGAGTTGCTCATCTGAAGATCTATCAATCAATAACTTTTTTAAACTATTTTTGTTATAACTTTCGAACCGCTAGGTATTTACCTATAAAACTCCATATTTGAAGAATAATTTTTGAAGCAATCATATTTTGACTCAAATATTGAGTGTTCATAACACCTTCATGCTAAAACAAATTCTTCAACTGAATTTTCATTGAAAATGGAGGCACTTCTTGACGTTGACATAACCTTTGAACTACTCAGTATATACCAATACAATCCTATACTTTTCTGAAAGTACTTCTTTGACGGAATTCAAATATGAAAAGCAATATATCTCATCTCATTAAAAAAACCTAATGGGAACCTGTTAATTGGAGATATATAAAAACCAATGAATTACTATCTCAATGTTTTATACGAAACATCACTTTATTCTAAACTACTAATGCAAGCTCAATGTGACGAAGTGCTTTAAAATAATCTGATAACTCAAATGTATTATTACAAGGTTCTCAATTTTGGAAAGGACGACAATGATTGAACTTCATTTGAAAAAATGATGATGATATCCGTGCAACAGGAGTTGATGGTACTAGCAACCCAGGTACAATGGGAAGGAAGAACTTTTTTCTGTACCAGCGGTGGGTCTATAGGGCTAAGCATTCGCTAGACTTAATACTCCTCCATAACCGATCCGTTTGAGGAGGGGGGTAGAGGCAAATTGGTGTTGCCCGAACCGACGATTTACCAATTGATGACCGTATTGACACCCGTCAGATACAATCGAAACATGCCGTCCTTTTTTCCTTCCTTGTTTGTGTTATTGGCGAGACCATGTAGCTCCTTCTCAGTCTGCTTAGCCTTCGTAGCCTGCTAACCTCCCTGGTCCAACCTCCCTTTGGTTTGGTTGAACAAGGGGATCATGCATAATGCCACTGGTAAAGCCAATTAGAATACGTATGGCACTCCATAAGATCAAGCCCCTAAAGTCACAACTAGCTTCAATGGATGCAGACATTCTTGAAGCTCGTACTTTTACTGTATTGACATCTAGCAAAAAACAACGCCTTTCAAGCAATTTTTCAAACACAAAGGTGGAATTCCGTCTCTTTGGTACTGGAATGTGAATGATTATATTACTGGAAGGAAGTTGAGATATCGAGATAACAAGTGTCTGGTATCCAATATAGGCAACGAGCTGTCTTTCTCAAAACTTGATCTATTATTTTTCACTGGATTTCTTTGCACTTGGTACCGTTCTTTCCTGTAGACTTAGAGAAGTTTTCATGACAACGCTTCGACTTTTCTCGGAAAATTCCTTTCTCATAAACGATTAGCTCAATTTTCAGATTTTATTAGTGTGATGAGTTTTTCTTCAGGAATGAGGATTTTTCTATAAAAGGGGTTGAAGGCTCCCCTATGAATTTTGGTAGAAGGGTTCTAGGACAGGGTTTTTGAACCATGGATGAAAGACCCATGAGTTGAATTTGGTATATTGTTATTGAAATCCATATTTGGACTAGAAAATAAATGTTCCAAAATAAATTTTCGAAATATTCATTCCTCCTAACTACCTATACCGTAGGTTCTGATAAATGTCTTTCCTTACACTGGATGTTGAATGATATCTGATAGACATTTATGCAACATACCCCACATAGTTTGGTCTCGCAGATGTTTTTCGTTCATGTAGCAGCAGGACCATACTTTTCAAATATATCACTTACAGACTGGATTCGATGTTTTTCCTCTCATCAGTGCAGGAAATATCCGATCCAAGCAGCAAAGTGCTTGGGACACGATTGATTTCAACGCGGCTCAACTGCATGTATGAAATCTTCGTCTATGAGAAAATTGTTAACTGGTAACAGCTCGATCTCGTGAACAAAGCCTCAAGCGGGGAAGAAACTTCCCATGTACCAATACTCTAACAGAGATCAAACCGTGTCTGAAGACTGTAACGAGGAGAGATACATACGTATTAGAAAATAAATATTTCTAAATAAAATCTCGAAATCACAGTCATTTGGTATTGATTTTTGTTACCATTCTTTCTTCTGTATCATTACATATCCCACCATTATTACCAGGGCAGCACTGATAGTTTTTGAAAGCTAAGTGACACAGTTATTAATTGCCAATTTTTATAAACTCGTAATTTTATTCCCCAACAACAAACTCTATTATGTGGAATTGATTATGTCGCTCACTTGTAGCTTACTCAAATTATTCATACCGTCTTTAAATGAAGAGTTGAAGTTGTTCGATTAGGCCATGAAATTGGATAGATACCATTTTCTCACATTTGTTAGTTCTTCTATTACCATCTTGAATTATGATGGGAATATACGTAACAATTCGTCAGAAAGTAACACATTGGTTCCATTGGTAACAGCATTGTGAAATTTGTGAGACCACACAGAATAATGTTACATATGATATTAACAGTTTGGTAAAATGATTTTATCAGTTCGGTTAGAACGCAAGTTCATACGTTTTATTATTCCATAAATATCATTATAATTATATTCTTTGATTTGAGTCTTAAAACATTGAATACATATGAAGTGACTTTGTACCTTTACAGTGTAAAAAATCAAATCAGTGTTGGAGTAATAATTTTATCAACAACTACCAGAATCGCGATTTCTTGAAAAAAATAATTACGAATATAATAAATTATAAACTATATGAAAAAATAAATGAAACAGTTATCGACAAGAGTGCACTCAAGATACTTAAGCAGATTCCATCTGAGTTCAAGTTTTTTTGGGATTTTTTTATAGAGCGGTGAAGATACTTCACCTTATAGTTTTATCATACACTGCTACTAGGAGAATCAGCGGGTTAAACTAATTGAACACTCCTTATGGAAATATCTATAGAAAAGGGATAAAACTTCCACTCACAATGTCACTGCTCAATATGTACAGTTCAAGTAAATGATATAATGTAACCTACCTTCCAACAGTTCCACGTTAATATTACAGGGTGTTCCTTAAACACATGCCAATATTTAAAGAGGTAATTCTTAGACCCATTTTAAGAGAAAAACTTCCTATGGACGTATGTCCTAAACGCCTTATTTTTTGAGATACAGGGTGGCAAAGTTTTCAAAAATAATCAGTTTTTTAATAATAACTGAGATAATTTTGTAGACATCTTTGGCATATTTGGTACATATGTTCCATGCCTCAAGGCGGATTTCCTGATGTACACAAATTTGTATTTTTTCAAACAAAGGCATCCCTACGGGTTTCGCATTGAATATTTTTGGGGAAAAAGTACTACGTCAATGCTTTCTTCTCAAAATAAAATCATTTTTAAAATCCTCATTTATTTTTGAGAAAATTTGATCTCCTGGTATTTCTTTGTCCGACGCATGATTTTCACTGAAAAAAATAAAAATCGACAGAAAGCAAATTAAGAAATTAGATCAATTCTAAAATGAATGAGAATCTGAAAATTGCTTCATAACG